CTGTCCCCCAGGTGACTACCAATCTGTAGGTCCCCTACCATATATCATCCCCCGTTGCCAATACCAGGTTCAGTAAGGCATTCCCTCTAGTGGGACCGTGTACCTCCTGCGTCAGGTGGAGGTCCTGTACACAGGATAGGAACGTGCGTGAACGGTGGGACTTTGCTGTCTGTGTCTCCCAACAGATGTCTGGGTAGTTTAGGTCCCCCATGACTACCGCCTTCTTAGTTTTTATGGTCTCTGAGAGCTGCCTCAGGAGCTCCGAATCTAGTTCTTCCCCTTGGTGTGGGGGTCTGTAGCAGACCCCTACCACCAAATCCCTTTCTCCTTGCCCCCCATGTAACTTAACCCACAATCCTTCTATTTTCTCCTCCTTCGATTCCGTCTTGATGAGGGTCGAAGTACATTGACATAGAGCACAACCCCTCCCCCTTTCTTTCCCACCCTGTCCTTTCTGTACAGACTATAACCCTCAATATGTACTGCCCAGTCGTGGGAAGAATCCCACCAGGTTTCAGATAGCTCTGCTAAGTCGTAGGTGTTTTCTGCAAGCAGGAGTGCTAGTTCATCCTGCTTGTTCCCCATGCTCCTAGCATTAGTATATAGGCACTTGAGCCAGCATATAGACTGGTGTGACTTGTGTGCTTTCCTTATCTGCCTTTTTTGCACTCCTTTTAAACACCTCGTTTCTGCATAATATCCACTCTCCTCTCCCATCTATTTTCAAATTAAAAAAAACAAAACACCTAATCATGTAAAATAGTCGTTCACCTGAGAGTAACTGGCATGAAGGGCTGAACAGAATAGTTATGTGCAGCACGAGAGCTAAATTGTTTGTTCAGGGCAAATGGAAAAAAATAACATACAATTCTACTTTTGTTCTGATATTTCTGTTCCAAACCTCTCTTCACAAACAATGCCATCAAGCACTGAAGAGAATTGTGCATTCATACTTAGAAAGTTAATTGATGAACCCCTTGCTGGAAATTAGGGAAACAAAAATCAGGGAGAAAAAGGAAGGGGACACATTTCAAAGTTATCAAAGATGACCTTATGAAGAAAGTCTTGCTTGTCTAACTCTATCCCAATTACGGAGTGGATCCAATAAAAGATATCATCCTAAGAAATCCTTGCCTCTTGGACCATCACAGCTACATCGCTCTAACACTATGAAAGCTATTAAAGGCATGAAATCCTTCTCTGCTAGAATAGTCTCTCTTCCATTTTTTAGGATCTGTTTCTTGACTTGGTTCTGGCAGATGTGATTTCTGTCTTGAAATGGGTGCATGAGTAGTGTTCTATGGACTCCTGCTACATTCATCAGGACTTCCGATTTTGCAAGCATAGGAGAGATACAAAAAAGGATTAAACTTGTTTATACCATTTTATGTAACAAAGGGCCTGTTACTTCCCTCTTAATCTACCAGCTTGATTTTAGTGATATAATGTGAAACTTCTGAAATGCACTTATGTATCGCCCAGATCCAGGGGCAGCCTTAGTGAAAAGTTTTGTTACAAAGTTTTTACACTACTCTTAAAGGGCTCTAAATGTAGACTAGTTTTATTTTGGGGCAGCAAATGCTGAATAATCATGAAGCATATTGCTACAAGCTATACTTTTTTCCAAATGATTTTGAAAATGTAAGTGTTATTGTATGTTCTATAGATTAAAAGAAACCAAATCAGCAGTTAACATCCATCTAAGTCCTCATCCCTACAGTATGTAAATCATGACACTCCTGTAACAGCGCTCTCATTTCATAACTGACATTTACTTGCCCAGTATACTATTACAGCAGAATAAGTCAGAGTACAAGAGTCACTGGTGGGTAAATATAGCTTTTCAAGACGACTTGCAACCCTCACAGACAAGGTCATGTATATTTAATACCTATATTGAATGGAGGCACCTTTTAAGTAGTCGGTCACTGGTATCATAGTTCTTTATGTTCAGAGACACTGTGATAAACTAATTTAACTTACTGAGAGGGAGCAATAATAGGAAATGGATATGCAATATCTGACAAGTTAATAGCATAATTTTCTCTCTGCTGTATTTCCATTTAATGTCGGGTCTGCTTTACTAATAAACTGAAACAAACTAAACATTTTACTACTTCTCTTTCAACTTTTCCTGAGGGTTCAGGAGGGTCACAGTCAGCTTCTTTATATCAGTCTATGCTAGGGACAATAAGTTAATCTGCCCCTAAGAAACCAAAACAAAGGTTCATTTTCCCCAGAAAATGTTATTTAGGCATTCCTAACACCCAGAATGTTTCCTTAAATGTAAAAGACAAAAAAGTGGCTTATTATTCAGAGCAAGTGTAAATCAATTATTAGCAATACAGAATACCAAGGAAAAATACCAATTTTTTAATTTCAGACTAAGCAAAGAGCCCCATACAGGATTAAAACCACAAGTGTGTGCTTTAAACCCCCATGAATCCACAGGGCTGAACTTTACCTAATAAGTTTCTCCTTAGTAAAGCATTCCCAGCATGAGATTGAAATGCAGCAGAAAGAAAATTACTTTATTAACTTGTCAGGTATTGCATATCCATTTCCCATTATTGCCCCCTCTCAATAAATGTTCACACTAATGTGTTTTCTTCAAATCTTATACAGCTTGTATAAATGTCAATTTACCTTTCTGAATGGAAAATAACTTTCATATCCAGTACATTGTAATTACAAAGGATAGCTCATGTACAGTATTTCTAGGCGTAAAGTACTAAGACAGATGAAAGTAAATTAATGTATTGTCTTGGTAGTGGTATTTTACCTCTGCCTTATTAAAAATGTATTGCAATCCACATTTTTTATTAGTGTTCAGTGGTATTTATAGCATAGATTCTGCTTTCTGGATATACAGCAGAAACAGAGACAACACAATAAATATAAAAAGGCTTGACATTTTAATAGTAAAGCATACAGCACTAAAATATTCAAATAAACAATGCCACTTCAAGACTACCACAAACAAACAGGATCATTCCTGTGATACTAGTTTTATAGCTGACACTTTGCAAACACCCAGGAAAATAAGGTCTTGGTCCATCAGTAACTAATGATTTCAATTAGGTAAGCACCACACAAACAGATAAGGCTCAGGTGGGGGCAGTGGTGATGTGTAGGGGGTGCACAGGGGTGCACGTGCACTCCCTGAGAGCACTGGTGCACCCCCTAAGTGGTGAGCATGGCTGGGCGGGGGGTCCAGCAGGAGCGCTGGTGCCCCCAGTGCAAGCACCAGCCGGGGACTGGAGTGCCCAGTGGTAGCCGCAGCCACTTCTGGAAGTGGCTTCAGTAATCGACCGCAGCAATCGCCCACTAGGGGACCCCCCCGCCCCCACCTCTGGTCAGCAAGATCAGCCAGGGGGAAACCCCCCCAGTCGCTGACTGGTCTATGGTGGCACCAGTTGCCCACGGGGACAGGGAAAAGGCCAGCGTAAGTGTGTGGTTTAAGTAGGTGGCCACAAGAGAAAGAGATGGTAGCTGGTACACATGGAAGAGGAAGCTGCATGAAGTCTATCTTAAGAGAGGGAGACAAAGGAAACTTTAAGGAGGAGAAAAAAAAGCATAGTATATAACAGGTGGTATAAAAGGAAAATAGAGATCCTCAGCACTGAGTGGAGTACATGTCACATGAGCTGTGTGGATGCCAGGGATTCAAGGGGGTGGTATCTAAAAAGAAATATTTTGGTTGCAGTGTTTTGGGTAGGTGAGGAAAGGTTGATGTCTACAGGGCAGTGTGTGGGCAGTTACATTAATCAAGGCAAAAGGTAAGGCCAAAGCCCGTCACTGTGGCAAAGTGACACAAAGAAAGAGTAAGGGACAGGTTTTAGAGATGTTGAAGAAGAAACTGGATTTTCCAAAGCCTGATTTAAAAGAGAAGAGAACTCAAAGTTGGCATCCAGAGTGAGTAAGGTGTTTAAAACAAATGTGTGCTTTTTGACATTAGATCCGTTAGTGGTGGGGCATCTAGATGGATGGTGCTAGAGGAGGAAGAGGAAGGTGCAAACTGTAAGACTGTCCAGCTGGCAGGAGGAGAGGCTGCTGGTAGCACTACCTTTGTTGTTTTTGAGGCACATCTTAGAACCAGTCACTTGCAACTCTGGCCCTTCTTAATGTATCTACCATTATGCATACAGCCTGCTAAGTATTTGTGGAAGGGTGTAGTAAGATGATTCTTTAGAATAAGCTGAGAAACTAATGATTCATTCTTCATATAAAAAAATAGTATATGTACATATGTGGTCACTTCTGTTGCAGAAGTATGCAGGCCAGGTGATTATTTTATCCCTACTCACTCTCAAGACTTTCTTCACAAGGAAGAGTAGAGTAAAGATACTCACTTTATGTAAATGAAAATGTTTATATTTCTAGTTCCCTTAAATCAGAAGTGCTTGTGGCTAGACTTTGCAGTCCCAATAAGCCAAGGGTGAAGTCAAGAGTAAATAAGTAGATTTATGACTCATTGGCCTGAACTGCTGAAATCATGGGAGCAAAGCACAAATATGGAACAACTGATCTGCACATATCTTCGTTCTGAAGTCAACAAGATTAATTCATTGGTCTATACATCACAAAAAATCCTGGTTTAGTTCTTGTTCTATTAGTTCTGAGAGAGAACTATTTAAAGTAAGAGAGAATGAGTGCAATTATATATCCATTCTTCTTGTTCATTCAAAGGCATCACGTGCTGACAAACCTGTATGTAAAAAGAAGAAAAAAAATGTGCGTACACTGCTTTTTATCATTCTTTCCTTAATTGTTGCAGAATTATACAAGCATGACTTAGGGCCTTGTTACACCTTAGACAGTGAGCCGCACACATGTTAATTACTGCTAGTGCTAGCTGGGACTTGGAGCAGTCACACCCGTAGTCTAGAACAGAGATACTTGAGAAGGCCTTAGCGGGTATGTGCAGGTGGGTGGGGACGAAGTGCTGCCATGCACCATCCTGCGCTGCTGCGCAGGTGCCACCCACCCGGCCAGCTGCAGGGGGTGGGGGAAGCTTGCACGCAGTGACTGCTGCCACTTTGCATCCAGCCACATGCCACCTCCCCCGCACTCTGTGTCTAGCTGCATGCTACCCACACCCCCTGCCCCCGCTTGGCGACCAGGGGTACACTGCTCCGCACCCAGCTGCTGGGGTACACTGATCCAAAAAGGTTGAAAACCTCTGGTCTAGAACAGGGGGTGGCAATGTTTTTGGGTAGAGTGCCAAAAACTCCTGCAACCTCAACTTGTAAAATGCTGGCATGCCAGGGGTGGACAGTACAGGCCCAATCTTTGTTGTGACAGTACAGCCTTGGCTCCTTCCCCGCCATCTGACCCAAGGTGTGCATGTCAAGCAAAATGCCTTTGCATACCACACTCTGACACCCGTGCCAGGGATTGCCTGCCCCTGCTCTAGAATCCTTCTCAGACGGACCCCACCTGCACAGCTGTGACTTGCCACTAGCATCCTGGTAAGCTGGGGCAGGACTAGGAGCTGTAGCTGTGAGTTGCCACTAGAGGGCTGGTGAGCCAGGACAGCTTTTCTCCCTGCTCTATGAGTAGGGGTGTGAGAGATCCTGGGATACTGGAGGACTTCAACATGGGCAGCATATCTGTGGGGAGTGGCCACACCTTAATGGAACAGAAGCTGGGTAGTGTGGATCAGAGATAATCCTGCCCTGGAGTGGTGTAACTTTGAGCTACATAATGAGTGCTTAAACCCACTTTAACATGCTAATGTGCAGACAAGCCAGGAAGTAAGAGCTCCAGAAGCCACCCAAAATTACCATGTAACAAGGCCCTTAAAGTCCTATCTGGATGTGTTAACTATTTCAGTTCTAGTATGCATATTGATAAAACTAATGGATAAAAAATTTAAACTTCTGTAATAATTACTAGTTCTTATTTTATACTGCACTGAACTACAGTAAAGGAAAGATGCTATAAAGGACTTTCAGCCCAGTGATTCCACTGAAAACCGAGACTAAAAAACACCTTTCATGGCTGGCCTTATATCAGACTGAATATTATCAGCAGCAGTATTAGGATTGGCTCTGATCCTGAAATCCACATACAGCTGTATTTATTTGAACAGTGTTCAACGTGCAGCAGCCCAAGCACCAATTCTTCACTGAAAACTCAGTGCTGTAAGTTAGATAACAATGAAATAAAATAATTTGAATGGCCTGTGTTTGAAAGTGATATACCACACAATTAATAATTTCCATAGCAGCCTTGTTTCTTAAATTAATGAACTTAATACCAGCTTTATCATATGGGATTTTTTTGATTTCATGCCTGCTTATTTCAACATTTTCTAAGAACTTTTGGAATTGCCAAGAGACTTAATGCTGTTGAACCATCAATTAAGATGTTAAAAACTCAACCAGCAGCATGCCATGTTGTCCAAATGAGACAGTATATACAAGTATTTTTGTGTGACTACTTGAGGGACAGTCTGTTCTTCATGTTCAGCAGAATGCATCAGATTAAAGAGACACCCTCTAGCTAAATTCGGCCCCAAATGAGCATTTTATAAGGAATATTTTTACAAATCCTGGACTAATAGAAAAAATGAAAATGAAAATAGAGATTCTTAAACAAATAAGCATTTCTCTACAGGGTTTTGAACCTAAGCACTGTAACATCCCAAATCAGGAAGTGAAATTAGTTACACACAAAGGCGAAACTGACTTCAGTGATATTTAATATCCAAGCTAAGCCAACAAACTCAAGACAATTCTTTTTATTGACAACCTGCAAACTTTTACCAATGACTGAACTTATTTACTGACACATTTTTTATATAATGTAAATGTAACACTTCTTTCAAACCCTGGACAAAGGCCAAGTTTACATTTATGGTTTAACACCAACTATAATAAAAATTTTGGTTGTCAGTAAAAAGTTTGCAAATTATCAAGAAAAAGTTGTCTTGAATGAAATAATGGTTTTATACCATGCTGCTCCTACCCCATGAGTCCCCTACTTACCCTGATACTCTGATGTCCCTGATCACATCCCATACCATGCTGCCTGCCCCCAGCCCATCCCCCCAGACTTATTCCTTCCAGCCCTGCACCCCATCCTGGCACAGAGCACCAAAGAAGGACCCAGCAGTGTTACACGCAGGGACACA